TCCAGCCAATCACAGCCCGACTCTGCCCTGTCAATCACCGGCCTGGGGCGGGCCTCGGGGGCGTCGGGGACCGAACATGGCGGATCTGTGAGGGGATGGAGGAGAAGGGCGGGGTCAGCGGGGATCAGCCAATCACAGACCGAACCCGGCCCTGTCAATCACAGCTCAGCCAATCACAGCCCACACAGCCCTGTCAATCATCGCTCTGGGGCATCGGGGACCGAGCATGGCGGATCTGTGAGGGGACGGAGGAGAAGGGCGGGGTCAGCCCGGCTGAGCCAATCACAGAGCAAATACAGCCCTGTCAATCATAATCCAGCCAATCACAGCTCAGCCCTGCCCTGTCAATCACCGGCCTGGGCCGGGCCTCGGGGGCGTCGGGGACCGAACATGGCGGATCTGTGAGGGGACGGAGGAGAAGGGCGGGGTTAACCGGGATCAGCCAATCAGAGAGCAAATACAGCCACGTCAATCATAATCCAGCCAATCACAGATCAGCCCTGCCCTGTCAATCACCGGCCTGGGCCGGGCCTCGGGGGCGTCGGGGACCGAGCATGGCGGATCTGTGAGGGGAGCGAGGGGAAGGGCGGGGTCAGCCGGGATCAGCCAATCACAGAGCAAATACAGCCCTGTCAATCACAGCTCAGCCAATCACAGCTCAACCCGGCCCTGTCAATCACCGGCCTGGGCCGGGCCTCGGGGGCGTCGGGGAGCGAACATGGCGGATCTGTGAGGGGATGGAGGAGAAGGGCGGGGTCAGCGGGGATCAGCCAATCACAGACCGAACCCAGCCCTGTCAATCACAGCTCAGCCAATCACAGCCCGACTCTGCCCTGTCAATCACCGGCCTGGGGCGGGCCTCGGGGGCATCGGGGACCGAACATGGCGGATCTGTGAGGGGAGCGAGGGGAAGGGCGGGGTCAGCCGGGATCAGCCAATCACAGAGCAAATACTGCCCTGTCAATCACAATCCAGCCAATCACAGCCCACACAGCCCTGTCAATCACCGGCCTGGGCCGGGCCTCGGGGGCATCGGGGACCGAGCATGGCGGATCTGTGAGGGGAGCGAGGGGATGGGCGGGGTTAACCGGGATCAGCCAATCACAGCTCAAACCGAGCCCGCCAATCACAATCCAACCAATCACAGCTCAATGCCAATCCCACCAATCACAGCTCAGCCAATCACAGCTCAACCCAACTAAACCAATCACAGTCCAACCAATCACTGCCCTACCCAATCCCACCAATCACAGCCCATCCCATCCCACTCCAGCCAATCACAGCCCAACCCCACCCCAATCCCAGCCAATCCCGTCGCTGGCCCCGCCCCCTGACCTTTGCCCCGGTTCCTCATGGCGGATTTCAGCAGCGCCGCCTTCAGGGCAGCTTTGGTATCGTCCGAGATGGCGCCGTCCTTCCTTGGGGCCGGAGCCGCGCCCGGCTCGGCCTTGACCGCCCGCGGCGACTCCATCGGACAGTCCGGGACCGGACACGG